CTTCTTGTTGTTTTTCCCTTGAAAATGTTTTGCTTCTCATCCAAGAAGTTTCCTCAGTTCATCAGCTCAAGTCGTAAAGACCAAGAAAGTCCAGTTGCCTTTTGGAAAAGCACCTTTGGGACATAGTTTCTATGACTATAGGAAGGGTAGAGAGAAGGGAATAATGGCAATCAGTTTGAATAGTTTTAAGACATAGGTGTTTTTTTTAATTGGATGGAATAAAAATAAGGTACATGTAGTTAAATCCATGGCTACAAATCATGAAGTCTAGGTATCTGAGGCAGTAAGCCTTAGCAGTTGCCAGGGAACAAGCGTGGAGCTCTGATGAGAGCCTGACTACTCTGGAAACCAAATGCCCATCAGTTTTTATGTACATATAATGGAAGAAGGCATCTGTGAATTATATTGAGGCCTATATGCTGACATAAATGTGTCCCAACTCAAGATTCCACATTCAGGCATTTATTGCATAAAAATCTACCAGAGGCAGCAAATGTGTTTTATCAAAGTCTGCCTCTGTTAAATAGGGATACTTTTTTTTGTTCGTTTCTTTAAGGCAGGGTATATGAAGCTTACAAATAGAAGCAACTAAATTTGTTTCTTTACTGAGATTTCTATCTACTTTTTCTCAAAAGAGCTCCTTTCCCTTTAACCCTACAACAGCAGAGTGAACTGGATTGGGATAAGAAAGAATGATTAGCCTCCAGTCATCAATTATACAGATACACTTCTAAATTTTTTAAAAAAGAAATCAAGGGAATGCAACGTTCAAGATAAGCATGCTTAGATGATACAGAATGAAAACTGAAGAATGAAGCAACAACAGAAATTCAATATTTTGTTCTTTTCTAGACATCAAATATCATTTATTTCCATCTGATACCTCATTCTGGCTATTTTCTTCCGATAAATCATTGTATTAGTATTTCTTAATATTTAAGTAAGCATTCTGGACAGAGGCACTTCAAAGATATCTGTGGGACGTCTGATCACCAAATCTGATGTTATCTGAGGAAAATATTGAGACTTTTCTTAATTCAGAATAATATGTACTACATTATTAGATACTAATGCCAAAGGAATATTGATTCTTCTGGAATGCTGTAGATATAAATATAATTATCTTGCAAATTATTAATAAAACCTGTAATGAACCTTAAACATGAACCTTAATATGTTTATTTTGAAGCAACTCAGGCAGATTTCAGTGCAGAGAGAAAACAAATTGGAGTGAGAGAAGCTTAAATTGGATAAACATTCAGACTATCAGAATATCATGGATGATCAAATACTACCATCTAGTGGTAGTTGGTGAAGTATACAAACAAATGAAATTTTGTTTATGCCAGAGGGGCTAGTATAGAATGGGACAGAATGGAACGGAACGGAATAGAATATTTTTCATTGGCCAAGTGTGATTGGACACATGGGGAATTTATCTCTGGTACATAAACTCTCAGTATATACAAATACAAACAAGAAAGTCATAAATCATAAGATACAATAATAAATCAAGCTATTTTTCAAGGTATCTGAAGGCCAGACAAGGAATAATGGATGGAAATTGATCAAGGAGAGATTCAACCTAGAAATAAGAAGAAATTTTCTGATAGAACAATCAACCAATGGAACAGCTTGCCTTCAGAAGTTGTGGGAGCTTCATCACTGGAGACTTTCAAGAACAGATTGGGCTGCCATTTGTCAGAAATGGTGTATGGTCTCCTGCTTGAGTGGGGGGTTGGACTAGATGACCTACAAGGTCCCTTCCAACTCTGTAATCTAAAATCATAAGATATAATCAATGAAGTGATAATTGTAACATACCAATAGGAGTAGGTAATAGGAAGGATGAGAAGGATAATAATAATAACATTGTCCTGCTTCATGGTTAGATATCCTTAGGTATAGATAGTGCTGTGGGAATTATGTATTTAGCAGAGTGATGGCATGGGGGAAAAAACTCAGGAGTGGGATTCTACCACTTCGGACCAGTTTGGGCAAACTGGTAGCTCCGACTATCAGCTGGGATGAAGTGATTCTGATGATCAGCTGGGCCCGCCTACCCACCCCTGTGCTTTACTTACCTTTATCTTCACAGCTGATTAGTGACAGAGCAGATTGCCACACCTCAACTTTTAATTCCCTAGCACTAACGCAGAAGGTGATTTTTCATTGAACTGTGCATGCGCGTGTAGCGCATGTCTGGTGCTCACCTGGTGCGTATGCATAGCGCACGATCACCAAACCGATTGTTAAACCGGAAGGATCCCACCACTGAAAAAACTGTGTTTGTGTCTAATTGTTTTGGCATGCAATGCCCTGTAGTGGCATCCTGAGGGGAGAAGTTGAAACAGTTTGTGTCCAGAATGTGAGGGGTCTGTAGATATTTTCTCAGCTCTCTTTCTATCTTGTGCAGTATACAGGTCCTCAAAGGAAGGAAGGCTGGTTGCAGTTGTTTTTTCTGCAGTCCTAACTATCCCTTGAAGTCTGTGCCTGTCCTGTTTAGTTGCTATATACAACACCAGACAGCTGTAGAAGTACAAAGGATAGAATCAATAATTCCTCTATAGAACTGTTTCAGCAGCTCCTTGGGCAGTCTGTGCTTTCTGAGTTGACACAGGAAGGACATTATTTGTTGTGCCTTTTAATGATGGTTCTAACGTTAGGTGTCCATTTCAAGTCCTGGGAGATTATAGAACCCAGAAACTTGAAGGTCTCTATTGTTGATACTGTGTTGCCCAATATTGTAAGAGAGCTCAGAGCTGCCGGTTGTAACAACCGTTTCGCCCAGCACTGAAAATGTGAGCGCGTGCATGTCTTCCGTGCATGCACGCGGCTTCAAAAACATGGTGATATAGGACAGAATAGTGCCGGAGCAGATGGCAACCGAACACATCCGAACCAGCAGCAGCCCAAGTTTGGGAGGGCTCCTCCTAAAATCTACTGTCATCTCTACAGTTTTAAGTGTGTTCAGTTCTAGATTGTTCTGGCTGCACCACAGGGCCAGTTGTTCAACCTCCCATCCAGTGGTGGGTTTCTACCGGTTCATCCTGGTTCGAATGAACCAGTAGTGGTGGCAGTGGGTGGCTCCACCCACCCGCCCAGACATCATCACGGATGCTCTGCGCATGCACAGAAGGTTCTGCGCATGCACAGCACTGTGCATGAGTGAAGCACACGCATGCATGCATGCACACACTCACAGTTCCGAACCAGTAGCGAAGGTAAGTGGAACCCACTACTGCTCCCATCTATATGCAGATTCATCACCATCTTCATTATAATCTGCAAACTTCAGTACTTTAATGTACTAATATGCAGTCATTGGTAGAAAGAGAGAAAAGAGTAATGGAGAGAGCACATGGGACACACCTGTGCTAATTGAACAGGTATTTGATATGATTTTACCTAATTTCACCTGCTGCTTCCTATGTGTTAGAAATCTGATAATCTACATACAAATATGACCAGGCACAGCTGTTCTACAAAATGCATTTAAATTTACAAACTATAATAATGTACAGTTTGATAAATATACCTTTGTTTAATCTTATCCACTTAATATCTAGTTATCCAAAATGCAGAGGAAATATAAAAAATATGGTATAATTGTTCAATATGGATCTGAAGGAGAAAATCTGTTTAATTATCATATATACACGTTATCAAGCTACCTATTCCAATTTTCAACTTATTTGCCTGTTGTTTGAACCACTATTCTTTTTCCTCTTACTTTTTCACTTCTTTTTTCTGCATTTGCTCTACTATTACTGATGATAATCACATACAATTATGAGCCTATGAAATGGTGATTAAAGATAGTGAAGTGAAGGTACTTCTATAACATCATTGCATAAGGCCATCAGCATTGGGGTTTTTTTGTAGTGCAGATGAATGGTTGGAAGAAATGTGAACCACTGGTCAGACATTTCATAGATAAAGTTGCTCATATTTGCTAAAAGCTGGAAAGTTGATGGTTAAAATCCAAGCAATTGACATGCTGGTGTCCTGTAATATTATCAGGGAGATACTGTATTTGAGCCTGTGAATCTAGAAAAAGTGGATAAGGTCCTCTGTGATCCTGCCTCCTGTTGGAAAGGTCCTTGCTCTAGATCAGGGATGTCAAACTCACATCAAGATGTCATGTGATGTATCGGGACTTTTTTCCCCTTTGCTAAACTGGGCATGGGCGTGGCCAGCGCATGATGCATCCAGCCTGTGGGCTGGGAGTTTGACAGCCCTACTCTATATTCAATTGTAGTAACCATCAGTGCACCACTGAAAGTGCTGAAGCATCAGGTTAGGGACAAATCACCATGGAGAAAATATTTTTGGTCACCAAGAGTCAAGAACAATTTTATGGCACGTAATCAATCAGTCAATCATCAAGACTTAAAAACCAAGAGCCTTGGTACTACAGGGGTTTAAGGCACCCTGTTATTAAGCTTATTAAGACCAGCTGCCTGCAATTACTGCAGGGTTCGAATCTCGCCAAGGCTCAAGGTTGACTCAGCCTTCCATCCTTTCTAAGGTAGGTGAAATGAGGACCCAGTTTGTGGGGGCAATAAGCTGACTTTGTATAAATATACAAAAGGATGAAGGCTATTGCTGAGCACATTGTAAGCTGCCCTGAGTCTCCGGAGAAGGGCGGCATATAAATCAAATTAAAAAAAAAAAAAAAAATGGTGGAATTGTAGTATCTGATAATTACTATACAGTATAACATTAAACTGTATATAAGATAAGCACTCTGATTATTTGCATATTACATTTTTATGCTAGTTTTGCCAGACTAAGTTGAACATTTAATACTGTTGTCTACATAAATTAAAAGAATTCCATTCAAAGGAATAAATGTCATAAACACAGACAATGTTCAGAGGCCATGGGAGAAAAAACCCTAATCTTCTAAAATACTCTCTTGTTCAACTAGGAAAAACATTTTAAGGGTAAAAACCTCAATATTTCAACATTATAATACATCAATTAGAATTTATCAGTAGTTCTGACTATATTTATTTGAGAACAATCAGAAGCATTTTTGTGTAACCGAGGAAAATGAAAAGGTAGCACTATCAGTAGGTACTGCTATTGTAAATTGTGTAAAGTTTCATGCTTATCTTGTGTATATTTTAGCTTCATGTAGAAACATCAGGGTTGCACTTCTTATTTCTTAGTCTTCTATCCCATTGTTTACATTCTCTATTTCTCATGAAAAGAAAAGGAGAGAGAGAGAGAGAGAGAATAAACTGGATTAAATCAGCTTTAATATATTAAAGGTTAAACTGCCACAAATTTGTTTTCCATTTTTAAACCTAAAATTGACTTATCTTTTAGTTAATTATACTTAGATGAAAAGAGTGACTTATGACTGTTTTTCACAGTGAAGAACTTTGCAGCATCCCCATAATCATGTGATCAAAATTCAGATGCTTGGCAACTGGTTCATATTTATGACCTTTGTTGTGTCCCAAGGTCATGTGATCGTCTTTTGTGACCTTCTGACAAGCAAAGTCAATGGAGAAACCAGATTCACTTAACAACCAGGTTACTAACTTATCAACTGCAGTAATTCACTTAACAGCTGTGACAAGAAAGGTCGCAAAATGGGGCAAAACTCACTTAACAAATGTCTCACTTAACAATAGAAATTTTGGGCTCCATTGTGGTCGTAAGTCGAGGATTGCCTGTATTCACTTGTTTATCATAGACATTAAGCAAATCAGACTGCAGTTTCCATTTTTGAATTGTGAATTTATGTTTTCTCTTCTATAATTGTTCAATACTTTTATTAGTTCTCAGAGTTTTTATTCAAATAAATACTGGAATTTCCTGCATTTAATATAATGTGCTAGTTCATTCAACATCTAGCCCTGGAGAGTTGGATTGTTTAAGATAGCATTGTATGTTCTTATTACACGTTGATCAATCCTGAGGTTTATTTCCATACAACTGTATTAGGATGGGGTCTATCCTCTTCTATGAGGAATAAAAGACACAAAATTCCTACTCTTTATACAATCACCACCTTTCCTCCACAACAAACCATCTTATTTATTCATTTATTTCTGCAAATCCCTCGTTATGTTTTTTATATATCATCAACCTCATTTTACTTTGAGGTTTAGCTTTTCACATTTTATCCCGATAGTCTTAAACTATGAGTTTGATTTGCTGTTTAGTTATCAATCCTTGCTTCCTTGTTTCCTTTTTGCTTCTTTGAAATTGAATTACTACATTAGGTCATTTAAAACTTTTTCCTTTTTTCCATCTCATGGGTATCATTTTTGGCTCTATTTTCAATATCTCTCTTTTTGGTATCTCCCATTTTCTTTTGATTGGATTATTATACTCTCCATGATTTCAGGCTACAATACATTGCCAACCTAACCAGTTCTAACATATCTATTTATGAAAATTCTGTGTTGCTTTCTCCATATCTAAATAATGTTTATATCTCAATGCATATAAAGTTAATGAGCAAGTCTGACTTGATTTTTAAAAATATTACATAACCTATAAAACATAACAACTGATTGTTCAACATTTGTTCAGGATATTTTTTTGTTGGTTTGGTGGTTTCTCTGTTGCTTCATCATATTGACAAGTTTGCCTGGTGGCAAAAGGACTAAGCAAATTTTTATTTCTGTACATCCTTCAAGAATTTCTGTGAAAACCATTTTCCTAAACTTCTGCCTAAACAAAATGTTTTCTACCAAGTATACCCTTCTGTGTGAATCATTATATACAAGTCCTTAATAGTGATGGTAATGCTAGAAGAATTGCACTTCAGCCTTAACTTTTCCATGTTCTCTCCAATATACCGTAAGGATCTTAATCAAATCTGCAAAGACTCCTGTTTAAAATATGGATCGTTTTCTATTCTCTTTCTTAGATCCATATTTCAAGTACATCTCATATTTACATAAAAATTGGACTTGTTTAGTGTTAAGCACTTTATAGTTTCCAAAATGAGTTTCTATAATAATGCTTTTTTTAAAAGAGGAGCTTATTTTGCTTGGTAATATTATAGCTTGTTCACATATTATAGGACCAAAATAAGCTCTCAGTTTATTGACCTTTCCTGAAAAACAGATGTCTGCATCTATGTCCTACATTCTTTTACTTGTTGCAAAGGTAATTTTTAAACCACTTTCAAATAACACTTTGCCTGACTCTAGCAATTATTTGTAAAGCTAATCTATTGTTTCATGAAATTCCCCTGAACATTCATAAGCAAATACTGCTAATCTATTTAAGATTGTTTGGATCTGTCCTTGAAATTCTGTCTTTCATTGGTAACCTACTTAATTATTAATTGTAGCCTTCATATTTTTAGAAAAAATGGGTTTTGTTGTACATATATATGAGTTAACTAATTTGAATAATATAAGAATTATAAGAATTTATAAGAATTGTGTATCAATATCATTGCAACTACTTGTAAGGCAATCACCTCAACATTAGAACCTTTCAAATTTTCTTCTATATTTTACATTATTCACAGTGGCTCTTCTGTAAATGACAGAATGAAAATCACTTAATTATCCTACAATTATCCTAGCCACTCTGCTAATAAACAAGCAACAAGGTTATCAATGATTCAGTGGGAATCCATTTCATGTACTATAATATTATTCCACACTTTCAAATAATTCAGTGATTTCTTGTTAGATGGTTTGTGTGAAGGAATGTTTTTGGGAGCGACATTCTGTGTTGCAGTAGCCACATCTGTAGTTAACAATGCACTATATAAAACATTATTAGCCACAAAAGATTCTGCCATAACAGGGCAATTGTGTGCAATTTTACTCAATATAAATTTTTCTTACTTTGGTGAACTCTGTTTAGAACTGCAGTTTAAAACTGTTAGTCTTTTGGGTGTTTATGAACTTTACTTTATACTACAAAACAGAAAAGGAGGCAAACAAGAAAAAAGTGTAGAAGCATTAATTGTGGCATGTTGGAACTCTCCTCTCATTTTTGCATGATTAGTTGCCTTTACCATAGGTTTCATTTCCTAATTATACCTCATTTTATAAAACTTGAACTTCCCAGAAGAAGAAAAATATTTTGGATTCTGATGTGCATGACATTAACATGATTAAGCACAAATGATAGAAATCAATACGTTAAAGAATAGATGTAGTCTTTACTGTAAACAAATATCACCCAATAGAGGCAACTAATGGCACTCCACATATCTCCCTGGAATTCCCATTGAGTTTGATGGATTGGACATTTGTCTGGAATGGTGCAGGGTCTCCTACTCAAACAGGGGTTGAAATAGAAAACTTTCAAGGTTCCTCAACTCTAATATTCTGTTTTATGTTCTAGATTTTATTGATTAAATTGTGTATATTTTTAACTGGGAACATTTCTTGGTGCATGTGACCTCTCCCAGGTCAAAATATTTTATTTATTCAATTTCTATAGCTGCATATCTCACTCAATGACTCTGGGCAGCTTACAATTCAAAATTGTATTTGTCCTTGTAGTCTAATTTTTTGTACTTTGATTGACAGTGTCTACCCAAGCTCAGTCAGAAATCTTTTTTATCTTTAAAACAAACATGACAACAGGAGCTAAGCCAGATTCCTTCTGCACCCAGTGATTTGTTATATAATTAAATCATGGCACATCTCTCTTCTGTGAATATTTCTAGGGCTACCCTGAAAGGAATGAATAAAAAAGATTGCCAGTAAATCCCCAAATCACTAAATTCAGTCTCCCACTATGTAATTTATGTGCTAAGCAATCATCTGCTGTGCTGGGTTTTAATTTAGTGTTGGAGACTCCAGCTGTTTTGCTTTGTAGTTAAATTCACAGTGGCTCAGTATAATTCTATTTGTTTGTTCATTTATTAAATATCTTTTGTACTGCTTTAATATCAAGTGACTTGTAATAACTTAATACACAATAAAACAATCATACAATAATCATACAATATTAATTATGTAGTATTACTATGCATAATTTAATACAATTTAATGTATAAAATACATTTAATACATAATGACATTTAATACATACTAACATAATAAAATAATTGTGATAAAACCAGAGAAATATAAATCATACGAACTTATTGCAAAATTCATTGTACAGTATACCCTATTAACTTTACCCACTCACACCTCACTTCCCAAACACTCTTTGAAAGAATCAGGTCTTCAGTACCTAATTCCAGGGCATGGATCTTAAGTCTAGGGAGCTGGCATTCCACAGGGAAGAAGCTGCTATAGAGGACATTCACCTCTTTGTATTTTACGAGGTGTGGAGACACTAAACAAACAGTCACTACAGGCACAACTTGCTGGTCTAGTTCTCTTTGAATTAGGCAATATCAGATATAGCCAGATGCCAAACCATATAGGACTTTAAAGGTACATTAGTATCAGCACTTTGAATTCACCTGGAACAAACCTGCATGCTGCTCTTACAGAATTGGTGCTATATGAAAATAGTGAGTTGCCTCCATTTAGATTGGACATTTGTCATCAATTACAGTTTCCAAATGTCTTCAAGTACAGCCCTATTTAGGGCATATTATAGTAGTCCACCTGTGAAGTGATGGTGGTGTTATGTTGAGCCACTTAGCCAATAAATGTGAACCTGGAGAGGATATCATTTCTGACAAACTGAAATGGATGGATCTGCATTACTGATGAAGCCATTCTAACTTTATCCTTAGCCAGTTCTATCTATACAGCACAGGCAGTTCAAGAAATTCAGATGGAAAAATGGGAGTTTTATACATATATATGTGCTGTACAGAGGTTCTAAGTTTAGAGTGTAAAGTTTCATTCCATTTTATTGCCACTGCTTTTAGGAATGAGTAGCAGTGATATCAGAGAGACAGAGGCATTTTTCTCTTTTGATTTGGACTCTTTTTTTTTTAAAAAAAGTGAAGTAAGTGTATTAAGACTACTGAAAACTTAACATTTACATTCCGTCATACACTCTTCTTTCAAAAAAACAAACAAACAAAAAAAAAACACCAAATCATTCCCCATCCCTGCCAATAGTTTCCACTTTAAAAGTTTGTAAGTAGCAATCTATATGCTGTAAATGTGCATTGAGTCCCATGTATTTATGGCACATCAGAAAACATCTCTTCTAATGTGCATTCAGTAGCTACGTAGATGAAGACACGGAGACCTGAATCCAGAGAGGGACAGGCAGGGCAATCCAAATCTACTCAAGCACATTTCATACCAATTGCCCCTCCCCCAAAACCATTTTCTAACAGGATATGGTGATTGTCTCTACCTCTATAGTTACAGGCTTCTTAGCATTTTCAAAACAAGATATGGAACCCAAAAATCAGGTAGAACCCTAAACAATACTTGGAGAAAAGTGCAGTCTTAGGTAGGAAGTTTGGGGATAAAGGTTTGCCCCCCCCCCTCCGCTCCTTTCCCTTTTTTAGTATTTTCTCCCTCAGCGCCCTGGAAAGGCAAAGGTGAGGACGGCAGCTTCACCAGTTGCTTTTGAGCATGCGCGCACCCCTCGGGCAGGCTACCTAGTGGAGAGTAAAGAATGTGACCCTTGGGGCTGGGCAAGTCTTAGTCTTAATCCCCGCACAGAGCGCGGGGAGGACAGAGTCGCCATTGCGAGAGGGCGAGCCGGCCAAGAGCTCGGCGCTCTTAGCAGCGAGGAGGCAAACCTGCCACCTGCAGTTGGTCCGTTTTTCCCCCTGAGGAGGTCAGCATGGCAGAGGCGCGAGGGTCGCTCGAACGGCCAGCTCCGGCCGAAAAGAACGAAGAAGCGTTGGAGAAAGGCGTGGGCGAAAACGGAGCGCCGGTGGACTCAGGCGAAGACGAGGAGGCGAAGGAGCGCCCCGCCTGCACCGCCGAGGAGGGCGACCCTCTGAAAGAAGCATCTGAAGAAACAGCCCGGGAGGAAGAAGGCGGGAGCCACGGGATGGGTTCTCCGAGCCAGAGCAGCGGAGAGACGACCCCAAAGACCGAGGACGAGGATCAGGCGAGTTTAGCGGGGCCACCTGCAGAGCAAGTTGGACCAGCAGGCAGTCCGAGCGCAGAAGGAACAACTAGCGCGGAAAGCCCCGAGGAAGAATCTGAGGGCAACACCTGGGCTGAGGCTCCTGTCCCCGAGGAGCCTCCGCAGCAGGAGGGAGAGTCGGCCGGGGGCCGAAGGGCAAGCCCGACCGAGGCAGAAGACGCCTCCGAAGGAGAGGAGCCCGCGGAGGAAAGGAGCACAGCTGAGCAAATCCCAGGATTGGAAGAGTGCGCTGAGGATGAGAGAGAAGAAGACACGGCCGAAAAAAGCTCCGAAAAAGAATCTCCTGAAGTTGCTCAAGAAGAAGAAGAAGAAGAAGAAGAAGGACAAGAGGAGGACGAGGCGGAGAGTACTATCCCGCTGGAGGAGCAGTGGCGGACCGGAGAGGAGACTCTGCGGGGAGACAGCCCTCCTAGCGAGAGCCCCGTTGAAGAAACTCTGGCGGCAGAGGAGGATCTCGCGGTGGAAGAGGCAGAAGTAAACCAGAAAAGCCCACCAGCGCCAGATGCCAGTACAGAGGAAACTGGTGCCCAGGATAATCCTGAGGCGAGTGCAGAGGAAGAGGGGGAGGAGGAGGAGGAGGAGGAGCAGCAGCAGCAGCAGGAGGAGCAGCCCGCCGATTCTGGAGCGGTGGGATCTCTGGGAGAGGCCGATGAACTCAGCAGCCAGATACAGCAGGATGAGCCTGTTGGCAGATCCGCCGAAGAAGGGGCGGAAGAAGTAGATGCTCTGGGGCTGAATGGCCTTCAAGGGAGAGAAGAAGAAGCGACTGTAGAAGGGAAGCAGACCGTCCCCCACGATGCGCCTGAGCAAGAGAAACAGGAACATGACATTTCTCTCTTTGTAAAAGTAAGGATACTACATAAGCATCGGTGTCGTTAGCCATTGCAGAATATTGCTCATGGAACGGCAGCTTTTGGTATCAGCAATAATAAAAATGGTGATATTGTAGGTTGCTGCTTTTTAATGAAACTACTTGAATAAGGTACAACTTTGGGCCAGTTAGGTAACTCTAGACTTTGGAATCAGGGAGCTTCTCTTTAGTTAGCACTTTTCCCCCTTTAATCTGCGCTGTCTATAACTTATTCGTTTGAGTAGGATCCTGTGTACCTGCAGGGAAGTTACATATTGATGGCGTCAGTGCTTTAGAGATCACACCCAAAGTTTTGATAACAAAGTCGTGCTTGAGGATCTAATTTAGAATCTCCACAGCATAATCAATTTATCATTTAGTGAATTCAATATAAAGGTTTGAAATAGGCGAGAAACTAAGTATTGTGTATTTATTTGGATTCTGCTGAACTTGCCAGTAAGATTGTGAGAGTTTTCATTGTTGGTTTTGAACTTGGGGGTGGAGAGTATAGCAAACTTGGGACCAAATTCTACTGCTGAGCTTCAGAGAACGCTATGATTGATAACAATTTTTAGTTAATTGTTGATAATTTTGTTTTTCTAGAGTGTCAATAATTATCATTTTGAATATAAAAGAGTACCTTTAGAAATAAGCTGAGTGGAAAGCATCCTCAGAAGTGTACATCAAAATGTTCACTAGAAATAGTAGAAAAAAAAGTAGTGAAAAAAATTCTAACAGGCATGTTTATCCTCTGGGAGACATGGTGTAAACATGGGGTGTTTATCTTTGTATCATATCTTTAAATCTGGTATCTTCAAGATGTATTCAAAGTAAAATTCCAATATCGCCAGCCAGCAGTAGGTATGGAGATCATCAAATTTAGAAGAGTGCAGTGTAAATCTATCCTTTTTCTTCAACTTGATAGTTTGGGACATAAGTTCATGGTAATATGAAAAACTTACTTATTCTTGCATGGAGTATGTAGTCGATTAAATAGCAGAAAAGTCATGAAAAAAAGAAGAGGGCAAAAGAGGAGGGAGATGGCAGAAAATGAGATGGCTGGGTGGAGTCACTGAAGCAGTCAATGTGGGCTTAAATGGGGGGGGGGGATGGTAGAGGACAGGAAGGCCTGGAGGAAAGTTTTCCATGAGGTCCTGATGATTGGACATGACTTTGCAACTAACAAGATAAATGGAAAATATGAGAAGCTTTAACCCAAATATTGGCAGATTTATATTGTTGAGGTTATAGTTTACAAATGTGTACATGATTCAAATGGGTGGAAAATCATGCATTTCATGAGTTTAATGTGAATATTATTAGGATTTTTTTAATCTAGAGAAATTATGAGAATATTATTTAAACGCAATCCATACTATTGTACTAAGATATAAGAAATAACAGTGACAAAATTTTTCAATGATTTCCATATTCAACTTTTATTTTAATATAGCTACTGTACAGGTAGTCGTCAACCTATGACCACAATTGAGCCCAAAATTTATGTTATTAAGTGAGAATTTGTTAAGTGAGTTTTGTCCCATTTTATGACATTTCTTGCCACAGTTGTTAAGTGAATTATTGCAGTTGATAAGTTAGTAATCTGGTTGTTGTGAATCTGGTTTCCCCATTGACTTTGCTTGTCAGAAGGTTGCAAGAAGTGATCACATCCCATGTTGGGATGCTGCAGCAGTCCTAAATATGAGTCAGTTGCTAAGCATCTGAATTTTGATCACATGATCATGGGGATGCTGCAAAGGTTGTAACTGTGAAAAACAGCCATAAGTCACTTTTTTCAGTGCTGTTGTAACTTTGAATAGTCAATAAATGAACTGTTGTATGTCGAGGACTACCTGTATACTCTGGATAGGCAATCCTCCACTTACGACCACATTTGTGACTACAGTTTCTATCCTAAGTCAATGGGGTCATAAAGCGAGTTTTCACATGACAGGACCCATATTTATGGCCATTTTTACCATAGTCATTAAGTGAATCATGAAGCTGTTAAGTGAATCATGCGGTTGTTAAGTGAATCCAGTTTCCTCAATTGACCTTCTTTGTTGGAAGCTGGCTGGAAAGGTCGCAAATTGCGATGGTATGATTGGCACATGTTGCAACCATTGTATAAATGTGAGCTGGTTGCCTAAATGCCTGAACTGTGATCATGTGACTGTGGGGCTGGGGTGATGGTTGTAACTTCAAGGACAGATCATCACCTTCTCTTTAGCTTCAAACCACCATTAAATGAACACCTGCTTTGAGGCACCTCTCATGGCACTTGTCTTGTGAAGCAGCATCCCCCTCATATGGATGCCCCTGACTTGATAGGCTCCCTCAAGGCCATAAAGTCCTGGATTTTGCCCTGGGCACTGGATCAGGTGCTAATGGAGCTTCGATGTGGGTGCAGGTTTAGGGGCCTTAAATGCTATTTCTTTTATGCTATTTTACAATGTTATGGATTATGGTTGTTGCTGTTACCTGTCTGCTGCCCAGAATGCCTTGTTGGACAAATTACTACATATGTTAAATAAATAAATACATGCAATAATTAAGAAAAAAATATTTGAACCAAGCAGGGCACCTGTCTGTTCTTCCACAAAATATTCTAATTTTTTTCAAGCTGCTGATAAAAGTGCTGCTGTTTTAAAAGTTTCATTAACTTTAATGAGTTGATTTCTTAAAACATTAGTGTCTTTCTCTTTGCTCATTGGAAACATGAAAAAAAGTCAAGCAGTTTAACAATAGGCAGCTGTTGCACATGCATGCAGCCAGAAACATTTATTTCTGAAGCATTTTCTCAAAGGCAGCAAAGCCGTGAGAACGAATATTTCTATTAAGAGGCATGAATTGCCTTGCTTCAAGTAAAGAAATAATTAAAGGCTTGTAACTGGCACAGCAGGAGTAGGAAAATGCTACACTGTTAATAGCAACAGCACCTAGACTTATATACCACTTCACAGTGCTTTACAGCCCTTTCTAAGCTGTTTTACAGAGTCAGCATGCTATGTGCTAAGTATGTATAATAATACAAACTCAGTAAGTTAAGGATAGGGCCTTTGTCATTGTCTGCCTACCTGAAAGTAATGATAAGGTGGGCATCGCACACTGACCATAAAAGTGCTGGCTCTGGAATTTCCTTCAACAAAAAACTTTCCTGTTATTTTGCAATGGTAGAATCAATTTCCTACTGACAAAAATTAAGATCCAGATGTACTCTAACTTTAAAGTAAATCTTATACTTGGTGGCTTTTTGGTACATATATGGTTGTGATTTCCCAGAAAGGATATGGATTAGCAGTTTCCAAGGCACCCCATTAAACATATATTTTTAAGTTATGGTCTGGAGAACTTCAACCTGCCCCATCTGAGGTGGTTTGGGATTTCATGGCCAGCATGGCCATGACCAAGTTTATTGATGACCTGATTCACAAAGGGGTCACACACTGGATTTGGTTTTTGTGGCAAGGCAATAATAAAGTGATCTGGAGTTGGGGGATGTTGCCACCAGTTCCTTGTCATGGACAGACCACTCAAAGTTCTCTGTGGCTGCTTGTGGTGCAGGGAGGAAGGACCTATTCAACTGGTCCACTGATTTCAGAAGATGCTTAGGACTGCTCAGCTCAATTGAGGCCTTAGTTACTGTTTGGAATAAGAGAGTGTTGGTTGCTTGGATCCATCTGGACTCCCAATGTGAGTTATCCTATAGGTTCCAAGGTTTTTATACGAATTTCAGAACTTAAATAGAAGAAAAGATACCTACAGCACTGTTGAAAGAAAACAAAGAGATCTAACTGATCGCAGGTAAGGAAGGATCTTTCTTAAGAGTTTCTTTGGGGTGATAATATTGCAAAATATGCTTATTTTTCCGCTGATTGCATTTGTAGATAACCTGCCATCAGTTCTGTCTACAGTGACTTGAGCCCTCTTCAATAAAACTTTAGGAAGTCACTTTGAAGACTACTTTAGGCATTTATTGAATAAAATCACTCAGACCTGCTTAGAGCTATACTATGGTTGTGTAGGTCTTATGGAACATCTACATGAAGCTATTAGATAAGGTCATTTATCAGCAAGGGGTTAAATATCATTAGTATGCTGACGATAGCTGCCTCTGGCCACCCAAGTGAAACTATCAAAACACTTCTAGTGCCTGGAGGCTGTGCAGGCTGGATATAACTGAGCCAACGGACATCCTAAATCTAGATGTCAAACCCATCAATTTTATGTTTAATCTTTCGCAAATATTAAGCCTGTATTAGAAAATGCAAAAATTCCAACAGAAAATGTGGGACTTCATAATGCACTTAGGGAAAGCTGGAATTATAAATTCCTTTCATAACCTTCATGTGATTGTGGTATTTTAAGCTCTTTGGGCTGCTTCCTATAGCATTATTTATTTCATTGTTCATTAGTTAAAAGAGTATTTTCTCAATTTACATTAGGCATAACATACCTGGTCATTTATTTAATTATCTGTTGACATTTTTGAAAATTATACTTGTAAATTGTTCAATTGTTAAAAGTTATTTGTTAGATTATTCGTTAATTATTTGTTATTTGGAAATTGATGTTTTAAATACTTACAGATTTATTTAGAATTTATATTGAATTCACATATAAGTTAGAAATAAGTTCCATTGGAGAGAGCCTCTGAGAGCCTCTGAGTTCTAGTCCTTTGTGCCTTAGGCACAAATCCAGATGGGTGACCTTGGCCAGTCATTTTCTTGCTAAGCCCTAGGAAAGAGATAATGGCAAACCACTTCTGAAATGGTTTGCCAAAGAAACTGTAGGGACTTGTCCAGGCAGTCACCAGTATTCAGTAATGACTCAAAGGCACCCTCTCCCCCAAAAAAGTTTCATTGAAGTCAATAGAGTTTTGATATGATTTGATAGAAAGTACCTTTTCCCATTTATGGAAAATGTTACAACTATCATCTTGAGATTGGTTGGCTTATACAATACAGTATGCTTAACCATATGAGTTAAAATTCAA